TGTAACATTGTCGTTTTCTGTTTTTATAACGCAGTACAATGTTCACTTTCAGGAAGTTTGGCACACTAAACAAGTGTCTTTAATTTCAGACAACAGCTAAGTCTTATACCTTTCATTTTTTCCTACTTGTCATAACTATTTTCTTATTACTTTTCATTTATTTGCCCAATTTAATGAATTGTACATTTTTCTCACGCATTATTTGCCACTTCATTGAGTACATTTTGCAACCCATCGAAGTGAACCCGAAATTGAAAGTTGAAACGTTTATTAATTGAACAGTTGTTCGCGAGAGACTATCAGCTGTTATCTTAATTTGATGAATATCGTCAATTAATCTTGCATGTAATACCGTACAATGAAATGAATCGAATATCTTTTTCCGTGTTTGCAATCGGAGGCTTCGAAATTCATTTTACTTACAAAAAGATGGGGTAAACGTTACGTAACGATACATAGAAATAAATGTCTGAACAGAGTGGGTTACGCTAAGTAAACCGACTAATTACTCGTTCAGCAAAAGTCAGTTATCCATTGATTCGCTAAAAGGCGTGAAAACGAGAGATGTTATACGAGTATTTAAATTACAATGGCACGCGACACGTGAAAATCATCGCAATGAACACGTTTGACGGGTTCATTGGTACACTGACACACGTCAACACGTTGTTACTATTATAGTTAGACATTGTTCGATGACTTCGAGTAGATCTTTCTATAGTTATCTAACAAAAATTGTTTTATTCGAAAAGTCCGTCTGGATAATCACTAGTCTTCAGGAAACTATTATTTTTAGTTTTAGAATATTAATAATGTTAGTAAACTTGTACTAATTTGTTTATTAATTTGTTTATGCGAAGATAAAATAAATATTCATCGCAGTTGTGTACCTGTGACATTTGCCAACCACGAGAATCAATTGCACGCGTTGCATTACCACAAATGTGTTAATTAAATTGAAATACATTACGGTGTGACTAACTGTGAGATCTATAAGGAATTTAGTTAGCTTTGCTGGATTCATTAACAAGTATCGTTAGATTATGAATGGAATTTTTCGTGACTCGATCCGTAATCAGTACCATAATCACATTGTGCTCGTAACAGTTTATTTTTGAATTCATACTGTTCATAAATTATGGATACATGCATCTGACTTTGTCTCAGATTAAAGTCGTACTGTTTCTGGTAGTCTTTCAGTTGATAAAATTAAATCTGGTTGAAGATGAGTTAAGAAAGTTAAAATTCTGAGAAGACATTTTTTAAATTGTTTAAAAATTTATATGTAATGGGACAGAATTAGAAGTTTTAAGGTATTAAAATGAACGTCATGATTAACATGATTTATATTCAGATTAGAGATATTTGACATGTTGGACGTATCGAAAAAACTCAAGATTAACAATCGTAGATTGCATCCTCGGCTTTACTTAGAAAGATAAGAACTCGCGTTTTCATCGAACAGAATCAATGTACATATTACGTTCGTCATATTGAACGTTGGGCGTGAATCAGTGCAAGTCACTTTCTCACCTTTTACGTTAAAAATGTGTATCATTGTTCTTTTCCTGTTGTTACACTCATATCTTTGTCTTTAGTTTGTATTTTTTTCTCTCATTACAACTTCTATTACAACAACAAATCAGATCATAGCAGACGCTAATCATGTTAATCATGCTCATTTAGCTCGACAAGATGATACAATAAATTTTTATCTTCCGAATTCAAGGTTAGATTAATAACAGTGTACTTCTTGACCATGTTTTTACATCCAACGTGTATGTGTTTATTGTTATCTTGATAAATTCATTCCTTTTTCTTTTCACCTGATAATGAATTTCTTTTATACGTTCGAACTGGCAGATTTAAACCATTGTAACGACTTTTTGTAGTAAATAATATATAAACAGTCTTTATGCTCAAGCTTCTGTAATGATACATTAGAAATTTAATGTACCGTGTATGATTCAATGAATAATCAATTTCAATATTAAATTTATTTCGATAACCAAAGGAGTAATTAAATTTCTTGAAATTATCTGAAATGTAACATATTTATTTTAAATTATCAATAAGAAATGAGAGTGTTGGATATAGTGCTCTGATTTTTATCAAGAAAAAATTCTCGAACCTTTCGTGGCCTCGCACGCTTAAATTTCGCATCAAGAAAGTTCTACGCTTCCATGGTAATACGTTTTCCTTTCGGTAAACTCCACGACCATACTCCGATAAAATGTTTTTGACAACTTAAAATCGCGGAGGAACGTTTCCAGCGATTACGAAGGATAACAGAGGGAGAGGAAGATACATCACATGGAGTCTTCCTGATTCCAGTTAAGTATCACTAACTCCGGCTAGTAATTCCAGTTAAGGATTGAATAAACAGCATTCCACGTTTCGCGGGACGTACGTTCGCTGGGAGTTAAATTAGTGTTACGACGGAAGGATTAACCGTTACGAGATAAAATGAACTCGAAACGTCGCGAACGACAGAAATTGTTCGCTTTTAAGAGAAGTTTCTCGTTAAATATTGCTCCCGAAAGTAGACGATATTTAATCTATTCACCTCACGTAAACGATCGATTTCATTCTGTGCATTAGGAGTAGAAATTACTTAAAAGGAAAACACTACGCAAGAAGTGCTGAGATAGGTGGTTTCACTTAATAAAAATTGATAACAAAAATTGTGTGCTCCGAAATTGATGATCAAAAGCTGATACGATGGTCGTTGATAAGACGATTAAGAATTTCTTTGATTTTTTTAATTCAGACAATCCTACTATTTTATTGGAATTTTTTACATCTTTATTTTCTAGAAACCTCGTGTTAAAGCAATTTACATGCAATGTTGAATCGTACTTTTTACCAGTTTAAAAATATTTGAAATAGAGCCAATAATTAAATTACGAAAAGTGGTAGTATCGAGCCTACCGTTCGGAGTGTTCAACTGTATTATAATTCAATGCTTTACAATCGTGTCAGCGTATGACGCTTGGCGTTAAGCGTTTAGAATTACGTTTCAGTAATTTGGGCTTTATTGGTGTCGATATCCATAGTATTGTTACTTCCATTCGAGCGGAATAATCGTCGCACAATCGAAACGGACCGTATCCTAAATTGATTGGGCCTCGAGTATCAACAGATTGACGCCAATCAATTGATTGTCGGTTTGTTAGAAAATCTGCGCACAATAACGCGATCGTTTAATTTTCAAGCATCGACAGATCCTGACAAACAGCAAATTTGTGTTAAACGATTTCGAAACAATCGTGTCTCGCGGTGAAAAGTAGAACAATACTCGTTGCTGTCATACATACATGGTTTTTTTTTTTTTTTAAATTCCATCATTGATTCTTCTTGTCTGACATTGTGAACGTAAAAGAAAAATCTTCATTATTTTATATTTTCTGTCCTGTTACCGCATGTCATAAAATAATTTCTTTATTATATTCTCTGCTTTTTGAACTTTCTTATGATATTATTCTACATTTAGATTTCACTCCAGACCTTCCTCAAGAATAAATTAAAAACACTATCCATACTTAATTTTCTCAATTTGTCCTGATTTCTGCAGATCTATATTACCTGAAATATAATTAACTACGAAGACCCACAAGTAGTATCGAATGATTTAATTAGTAAACGATATTAACCCAGATTATATTCCATAAATATTTCACCTCGACCAATTTAGCGACAACCCAAATCCTTTCAAGGTATCAAGTCTAATCAAGCGCAAAACCAGCTGAAATAAAAAATCTTGGTCGGAATGAAATTCTAAATCCTTCAGGACGTGAACCGTAACTAGGTCAAACAAATGCATGCGCCAGACTGTACCATACCGCTTTAAATTGGATTTATATCCCAGAAGCAATCAAAAGCATTATTAATTCACGGTATCTCGTTTGCAGGATGATGGACACCCTGGAATCGATGCCGGATTCGAGGCTGGCCGAGAAGGTGAGAAGGAAGCTGAATAAGAGCCCGATGGAGATGGTGAAGAGCATCGCGTCGGAGGTTAACGAGGTCTCGACGATCTGCCACGGTCATTTTTCACACGATAATCTCCTGTTCAAATACCAGAACGGGAAACCCGTCGACGTAAAGGTGATCGACTGGCAAACAATGAGGTACTGCTCGCCAGCCGTCGATCTAGGGCCCATTCTGCTGTACAACATGAAGCGTGAAAATGGTCCGACGGAGCTCCACGAGATTCTAGCCCACTACGCCGAGACCGTGAAATCTGAATATCCAGAGATATCCATCGAGAGATTGACGGAGGACATCGTCGACAAGTTCCTCTTCGCGTGCCTTATCTTGTCCTTCCAGGAGCACATCAGCGACGAGGAATTCAAGCAAATTATTTCACACGTGGAGCGATTGAACATCTTTGATTAAGGGATTCCGTTCGACGTCGCTCGCACGTTTGTTCTGTTATGGTTGTGACACCAAGACTGAGGCTTTTTTTTTACGAAATTAGTTGGACGTTGAGAGAAACTTTTTACGTTCTGTGTTCGCCGTTTGTATGACGCACGAAGCAAATGCAGATTTAATAAAATTACCGTGTAGCAATGTTTTGTATCGTTTTGTAGATTGCAGTTTCAGGATGGAAGGATCCTTTTGGGGATGTAGCTGCGTGTTTGGAGGGGAAAGGTTGTTTGTAGTAAAGGTTGTTTTTTTTTTTTTTTGACGAGAACGATAGGATCGTTGCAATGGGAGACGATATAGTTAGATTGATGTTGGATATTAATTCATCGACTGCTATGGTATAATCTTATGACTATGGTAAATTATGTAAAAACCTTCTCCATGAAAAAATACATATATGTGCCAAGTTTCGTGTTCATCGGTGAAACCAAGTCTATCAATTATATACAAAATATACAAACATCAATTTTTATATATATAGATGAGATCATTTCATACTCAGGAAATATATTAAATACAAGCCACTTCTATAAGGTTTCGCTCGTTTCTTTCGATAGTTATGAAAGAAGTTTCGATTAATAAACGTTGAATTTCACTTTACCAATTTCAAATCGTAAAACTTCTTCTCTATGTAATTTTTATTTATTTATCTAATATAAAACGACCGAGTCACAGTCACTAATCTTTCCATAAAGGCTGAATCACTCGATAGATAATTTGGTTTCCCCCCAACAGTCTAGAAATGAATAATGAATATTTCGATTATCAGGTTGTTATCAACTCCAAGGATTACTTCGACGTTTCCAAATAATTTCATTCGATTGTTCAGCAGTTAACGAGCGAACAGCAAGGTTAAAATGTAGATCATCGAAGAATGGTCCATGCTGTCGTTCATGGCGCCTCGCAGCTGTTACTGCTAAGAATGAAATCGGCGTTGCTCTGAGAAATGCAACGTAACTTTGCTTCGAATAATGTTGCGTATGAAAAATGTAGTTCCAGCTCAGTGTTTCGGACACGGATTTATGTACATACGTTACGTTCCCGCGTAGCACGGTTGGCACATTCGTTACCTGGGATCAAACCTTCAGTTTTCCTCTTCTTCGCGTCGAGACTCCTAGGAATAATCCTAGCCAGTGCATGAAGACTTCTTGTACAATCGACGTCAAGATTTACTGCTCCACGATCTCACCTTGGAAAATAAAATTAGGATAATAAAGTGACATGCTTGTTAATTGGGAAATTTTTAGAGATTGAACCATAAGGGTTGAAAACGTTTTGTCTACTTTACAAAGACTGAAATAAAATTGAATTCAGACACCGAAAATAGACAGGAAATATTTGAGTTTCTTGTAGAGTATTAAATATCATTTTAAACAACCCCTGAATACTATGAAGAGGACTGAACGTAAGGATCGAACTAAGGGTTGAAAACGTTTCATCTAGCTAACAAAGACTAACCAACAGCTTAAGAATAAAATTGGATCGAGACATTGAAAATAGGTAGGAAATGGAGTTAAGATGTAGTTTGTGCTCGCTCGTAGAGCAATTATTAATCGAATCACTCACGTTCGCCACTCTTCGGTGGGACAAATCCATCGCTCCTGATGGAGTGCCTTTCAGTCGCGCGATACCAATTTTCTGTTCGCGGGCGAAGGTTTAGGCTTCTATTCTGGAACGAATTAAACATGCACAGCTGTCGGTGCAGATTTCGAACAAGGGATCGTGAATTTTGCACGGCAGCCAAGCACCCATTTTCGAGAGAATTAACAACGCACAGCCGTCAGGTGGCACGAAACGTATCGCGAACTTTCACGCTGGAAACTGCTACACGCTGATACTAGCGCTGATCGCTAATTTTAGCTGTTGCGTCGCTATGAAAGGTGGAAATTGGTAATAAAAAAATATTGGCTTCCTTGAGCGGAAGGTTTTCGAGAAGTTAAACATCTTTTGACAACATTCTCAAAGATTCAATCGAAACAATTATCGTCTGCCATTTATTCGTAAAAGAATGGTAAACTTTGTTCCTCTTTTTCCACACCCTTATAATAGCCACTCACCCTCCTCTGGAGTCGTTTCTTCCGTCGGTTCAACTGGTGCTTCCTCGGGTTCTGGAGCCTCGACTACGATCTCTGGAGATGGAGGTGGCGGAGGTGGAGCCTGCTGTTCTGGTTGACGTCGTCTCGACAGGCTCGCCCGTATCGCCACCGCCCCTTGCTTTACGTACAACGCGGAGTAAACGAGGAAAGCCACCACCAGTATAATAAGGATGGCGAACAGCATGCGGCGAGGGCCGCATTTCGATTTCCTCACGGCTTTTAGGGCTGGTGTGCACTTCGACACGACTTTCTTAGCCGATACTTGACACTCCAGGGTGTTCTGCGACTGTCTGCCGGTTCCATTGCAATCGCAAAGGGCCCACGCCGCGGTCAAACCCATTCACAATTTCGAAATTTTGACGGTTTTGTGGCCGAGACACCTTCCTGCCAAACAGTGACGCGCGACTCTGTGATTTCGACTCTGTACGAGAATCGATCGTCGGACTTTTCGTGGCCTTTGACGTGAATGTTTTGTGAGTGATGCTAGGTGGGAACAATTTGTTTGGAATGATTGACGGTGGACGGAGACAAGGATGGATTTGAATGGAAATTTTGTCTAGTTAAGGTAAGCGAAGCGCAAAGACTTTCTGAATTAAACTATATGCTACAGGCCCTTACGTAAAAATAACAGAATTGTGGAACCACGTATCATACATACTTGATTTTCTTTGTCACCTGCAAAGTAAAAGGAAAGAAATTCATAATACCTCCTGCGGACGTTGTTGTGCATCATCCAAGACAGCAGAAATATTCACGGTTGTCGCGATAAATGCGCCACTCTGTGGAGTATAGATCACCGATGACAAGGAACCCATTACTTTACTCGATAACCGTAATATATAATAAGATAGTAATTTTAATAACACAAACATTGTACCCACGCTACGAAAGGTGAATTCTTAAGGTGCTCTTCTAACATTAAATGAACACTCGTTATCGAGATATCGACATTTAATCGATCACATCGCCAACCTTGTTCATCCATTTTTAGGAAACGAGACGTTCACCCCATGTGTGACAATTTGCAGAAATACGTTAAGATTAAAAATACACGAGTTATTTGATTAAATATTTGGAAGCCATCGCGAGCTTTTCCTCTGAGAAGAGATTCTCTTTTTGAAGCAGTTATCTCGATGAGATTTCACATCGACAATTTAGTTTGGAGATACAGCTGTCTTGCAATCCATTGTCCTATAAGTATTTTGGAACATTTTCAGTTCTCGTGACCTTCTTGCTTGAAGATGTGCTTGCCCAAAGTTCATTGACCTACAATATTGCGGATAATTATAAATATATAAATGAATTATGAACATACAAAATTTAAATCTATACAAAAATATTTCGTCTGGTTAATGGAAAATTCATATATTCTCACGTAATTGAAAAAAAATTATTAATTTTTTGAATCTAATCCATTGACGTAGAAATAGGTGTAAAAGTGCAAGTTTCCATTCTGCTGTGTTCATTTCAGATATTTGATCCAGATCCGATTTAGTTCTAAATAAATTTTCTTAAATAATTTATTTTTAAATTTATTCTTTGCATTGTCATTCGAAATTCATGGAATACTCCAAGTCTGTGGAAAGGTTTCGAGGTGATTGCGACGAGATTAGAAATAGTCTGACATTTAGAACACATAAGACAGTCGATGTTCCTGTTACAAGAATAGAAATCATTTTTGGCACCTCGAACAAAGCAAAAATACAAAAACAAAATTTGTAAGTGATACGTTATTGAAGCTTAACTTGAAAGAAGTTCGAAAACACATTTTATTTGCCGCTATTTCTATGAAAAATACTTTTTGGTAGCGGTAGTAATAATGATATAAAATAATATTGTAATAAAAGAGGACTTTGAATAATTAATACGTAAGTTCCAACAATCTCATTTATAATTACAAATGTTACAACTGCCCTTTTTAGAAAATTTTAGCAGTTGCGAATTAAAACATATTACCGAGTAAATGAAAGTTAAAGTGAATTAAAATATATTAAAAGCGAGCAACGTTATCAAGCTGCGTTTACAGGAACATGTTTACCGACGAAGTTATTATTGCCTACTTTGCATCCCGCTATAGTGGGCCGTTTGTTGCAACGATACGTCGACTGCGACGCATCTGCATTAAAATGTCAAATGTACAAGTACTTTATTACATAAAATAGATCTCAAGCTCAATATGCCGCGTTCAGTTATTATTAAATCCACGTTTCCGCGAAGACGTGGTGCAGTTAAGCGAGGCGGTTTGCCGCGCTATGCTAATTAATGGTTGGCGACAACTTATAAATATTGCAACTTTGGTATGGCTTCTCTGTTCTCGAGGGAATAACCGTAATGGAACATCAGTGATTAGCTGGTATGCATGATTCTGTAAATGAAACGAAAGGAAGATTATAGGGATACTTTGTCCATTAATTAATTGTAATACTTGTGTACTTTTCAATTTTGAAGGTAACGAGATTTTATATTTAGCTTTGATGTTTTTGTTATTACAAAAAGCAGTGACAAGTACTTAAAAAGAAAAAGGAATTAATATTATTCAGGAAGAGTGTATTTTGCTTTCTTCTACTAACCTATGACATTTGTAAAAAATTTGTTTGCTCATTGCAATAGGAACTACTTTTTCTTTACAGTACGATTTTGTAATTCATATTATGTTTCTAATAAGATTATGTAATGGCTGGTGTTGTTATTGAAACGATATGACTCAGGAAGTGTATGTTCTGTCTTACTCCACTCACTTATGACATTTGTAAAAAATTTGTTTGCTCATTTCAATTGGAACTCCTTCTTCTTTACAGTATCATTTTGTAATTCATATTATATTTCTAATAAGAACATGTAATAGCTGGTGTTGGTACGACTGAAGAATGGCCTTTGAGTTACTTTCGACTCCGGTGAAATAATTGTGTGTCTGCGGTCCGCAACATGGTAGCAGAGTGCAAATTAGTCCTCGGGCGAAAATGAGTTTGACATGGCCCTGTTAGAATATCTGAAACTCGCGACTGTACCCTCTCGAATCGTTTGTAGTCAACGGTCCCGGAACTTCTAGATTGTGAACACAGTTGACGACTCCCTTACGGCTTATAGCTTATGGCTTCAACGTTTGCCTAATGCCATGAACTGAATCAGATGTTTGCATTCAGTTGATTGCGATTCAACAATCGTACCAAGCTGTTGTCTGTGCGAGGTTTCTCGTTGTTCGTCGACACCACCTTTCTTTGTTCTTTCTTCGTAGCTTTTAAGTTCTCGACACGGTTTTCACAACAGTTCCCGAATTCAACGTTAGTAGTTATTAAATACGTCTTAAAAACAATTTCGAACGAGGCAGGTAAAAGTTATACAGAGTTTCTCGAATAAAAAGTAAAAAGTAAAAAGTAAAAAGTTACGTTTACTTTGAGATCTTACCAGAGCCTCGACCCACGGAACAGTCGTTTCCACCATATGACGTTCATCTCCGAACCGAATATTTTTCGTATGAATAATTTTTCCATATGTCCTGAAACTTTGACGGTAATCGCGTCTGTCGTTTTATAAGAATCGCTCCGCGGAAACTTTCTTTTATCATTCTTGTGCGTAGACCACTCTCGTAAAGTTATAGCCACGTTTTATAGCACTCCCTGTATATACAACGTTTTTTATTTATTCATTGGACCGTGCGTCGCCCGAAGATCGATCAAATCGTACAATTTTTCGATCGAAACTCGAAAAACTTGGTTTTGAACACACCTGGGTACTTTTCATGTTACATGTACCTACACGTCGTTTTATTTCGCGGTTGTTTCGTTTTTTATATTCAATCGGATTGTCTTGTTCCATTTTTAATAAATAATACATAAAAAATAGATGATATATTAGATGATATAACTATAGTTATGACTTGGAACACGTTTCTCGCTCTTCAAGGTTCTCGTTTAACGCGCATTACCGTCGAAACACGAAAAACATCTCACCGAAGGGAACCAACTGTTTCTCGTGCGCCCTACTATTTTTACAGCTCGCTGTTTTGAAGTTCTTCACGAAACTAGCGAGAGCACGGCGAAAATAGTTTCGCTGAGCAGCAGCTTGCTTAACAGCCGACAGTGATGTTAGATGACTGGACCACCGAACAAGTTAAACGTTTTCTCTTCCTTGTACTTCCGGTACCCTGATCTCAACTTCCACGCGAAAATTACCTACGGTGTACTCGGTATTCATATTCCAATTATTACTAGTTCGATATTTTAACAAATTCATTATGGTTGTAAATTCCTCTTTCAAAGGTGGGAATGGAAAACACACGAGCAGAATCGGACCATGGTAGCTATTATTCAAAGTTTTTGCGTAAAAGAATGTGCCTGAAATATTTACAAAATCCTGACGCGTAAAATTCACCCCTGAAATTCACCACGTGTGCCCCACCAACTAAACAATGTTGTTTGAGATTTGTCTTCATTGAATGCGCGAACATTCCATTCCGCGAATAGCTTAGTCGTCTCGGATCCATTCCTGGAACACGGTAAACATTTCTTTTTTTTAAACCGTACGTGGAATTCCCCGCAACGCGCAGAACAATCTACGGTTCGAGTCCGACATTCTGCATTGTTTACCATAATACCGCTTACAAAGCTCCTCGCTTTCAACGTTCATTGCAATGAAGCATTCGTCACATAATTTTAGGTTACGGTTTGTAACAGCAGTTACAGTCCAACTCGTTTTTTATGAGAATGCATATTCCATTTGCATTTTATTTATATTTTATGTATACTTTCGTGTGCATACTGTCACGCATGCGTAATGAAGACGATTTAAAATTATAATTATTATTCTAATGAGAGTATTCTAGTTATATTTTATTTTCGTGTATGTTTATTCATGTGTGGAATTTCCATATATATTGAAAAATCGTTTGACGATCATGGGGAGGATACGTGTCGCGAGAAGTGTGGGTACGTATTGATGCTTCAACTCGATTCAGAGCAGGTTAGGATAATTTTTTATGTTAACGTTTACTGATATTATTTCGTGCAAAATATCTTATCGAATAATAATTATAAACGTTCCTAAAGTAGTTTGAATAAATGAAGACTCTTCCATTAAAATGTAGTTTGACCTCGAGAGGACTAAGAATATTCTAGGAAAATGTATTTGAGTCCAAACATACTAAAAATCTTTTATTTACTGTTCTGTTTGTTTCAGTCGTAGTTGACCACTTGGTTTCGACGACGATTTCGAAGGAACTTATGATAATGCGAGTAGGGGACTGTCGCAACGATTAACCGACCGTGCAGTGGTCAACCAGGCTGGAAAAAAAGCTACATAATAAAAGCCACCGCGAGGCGCGAGCACCGCTTAAGATAATATACTTTTGCATACAGATGGGCTTATTAAACAGAAATCCGCAGATGGAGGAACGCATAAAGCACTGTCTACGGCGTCCTTGTCTGATTAGGCATGCAACGCCGCGCCCCGTGCTTCTCGAGCTTTTGCTCTTTCGTTACGGTCGGGGGTTCAGCGATGTACGAAACGCGTAAGTAAAACGCTTCTCTGATTTCATCGCAACTCGCAGCACAATCGTATGGAGGTGGTTGGTCGATGATCTTATCACTAAATGTGTGTAAAACAAGGTGTATTTTTTATATCTAACAAAACGTGTTTCATTCTTGGATTGGACGAAGAATCTCAGATAAAAGAAATGCAGTTCCCTAGTATTTAACGCGTTTACTGCCAGACAAATATTCTTGAAAATTTCTGCGAGGATTAAATATTATTTAGACTATTCAAGATTAATCGTACATTTATCGTGCTATTTATTTTTGTAACTTCATCGAAATTCATGATTTTCATTTAAATTTATTATCTTTGATGCTTGACTGTCAGAATTAATTTGTTTGTTTCTTCAGTGGAAAGCTCTGTCATCCATATATGAGCTGTTATATTTGAAAATGGGATATGTTCTATTATGGGATATGTTTAAAAAAATATTTACCATGAATACTTCACTATGTTAACTGTAAAGGAGAAATAAAGTTAAAATTTAATTTCTTCTTTTGTTAGTTATCTTAACGAAGTAATTTACATTAAATATGACGATCAACGTGTTAAATATGCACCCATGTACAATTTGGTTCACAGAAAGTTAACCATTGTCGCCAGCACGTGTTGCAGGCAGGAACCACGCAATGTACACGATTTTTATGCATTCAATCGACAACATCGTCACGGCAATCGGTGAATTACGCGAATTGAAAAACCGCGCCAGGGGTTTCATGAATCTCTCGATAATTTATCGATTAAGCTCTGCACGGAATACGAAAGCCAGAGTTCCGAGGCCGTTTGGCCTCACGCTGGCGCCGATTAAAATTCCCGTCACACACGTCAGATTTCGCCCCGGCGCCAAGTAAACCCCGGACTCGATCCAACAAATTTCGTAATCGCCTTTTAATTGCGGCCACAGTTTTCGCGAATTCCCGTCAAAATCGCCACGTGCCACGGGCCCCAAATTTCTCGCTTCCCACTTTTTCTCTCATTCCACTTCGACTCGATTCCATTTTGATAAAAATGAAAGCCGATTCTTGTACGACAACGTTTCGAGAGTATTTTCTGAAATTTTCATAAAATACGATATCGAATTGTTGTCTGTGGAGATGATCTCCCTAAACTGGTATTTTCGAAAACAGCATTCATGGTCCGATGGACGTGGCCATCCATTTTTATCCGAATCCCAGAATCGAAATTTTACGTTAAACTGGATGAATGAAACTAGTCTGCGGCAAAGCCGATTTTCGAAAATATTGATTATTGAAGATGTGTCGGCGATTCGCGACGGAAAACGTGATTCACGACGTATAAATCGACCTTCTGTTATCTATAAATAAAAGCTAATCCATGAATGGGAAAAATTATATGACACAGACTGAATTGTAGTATCGAAAGTATGAATATAAAATTCGATAAAAATGTATAATTACAAATTAAAATACGAGGCAATAAAATTGAAATATAAGACAATCAAATAATATCAATGAATCGGTGTTTTCATAATGGAAATTATATACTTCAATCGAAGAAGAAAAGTAGATAAATCGATCCAAAAATGTTAGCATTGTATAAAACGAAGGCCTTTCGAAGATTCCACGTGGTTTCTTTGTTACAGTTACGAGACACGTTCGCCACAGCGTGTAAACCGAAGTTAAGTCCTCAGCAAAGCGTGCCTTCTGTTTCGAAAGCTCTCGCCAGGAAGCTATGACCACAGGGGGAATGAAATTTCATTTCTCATCGTATCGAGAAATTCTTCGCAGTTGTAACGTCCTGAAATCGAATGATACACAAGGCGATTTCAACGATTTTCCAGTTAAAGGGCAAGGATAGAAAAATGTGCAGAAAGTTGGAGAAATTGGTAGGTTTCACGAGAATTGTAAAGAATTATTTATTCCTTTTCAATACTTCTTTATGAAGTTAGTTACATTTTATTTTTTAAAGAGCATTCCTCAGGGGCTGTAGCTATGTTTGATTGTAGCTACAGTTCGGGTTTAGCGATCCCGAGGTAACCGAGCTATAAGGGCCACAGTGGGCCCCCAACAGACATGTATAGAAATGTAATGGAAGAAGTTAACGATTGACACATAACAATGTAAATGTAACATGGAAAAAAGGCACATATGTGCAAGACTGGTGAATTATAGCAAGCAAGACTAGATCGATAGGTACAGTGTAAAAGAAATTACGTACCCTTATAAAAGAAAGTAAAAGAAACGAGAAACAAACCAAACAAGCAACCGTTAGTCCTACGTCATAAAAAAAAAACGCTCCACTTCGATCACCGTTGGCCACCGATTCCGCGAGCACCAGGGAGCAACAGACGGTCGCCAGTCATTCCGTTGACAATCGATGCGTTAACAGTCAATTATTCTTTGCGCGTGTCACAGCATCGCTGCGGTCCTCCCTCCCCTCTGCATCCTTTTTCTCCGTTTTTGTGCCAGGCTACTCTGCCACCCACAATCCTCCCCCTCACCTGTCCCACTTTGCAAACATTCATCGGGCAGCCACGCAACGATGAAATTGCATTTTGATTCGCGCCACCCACTTCTGCCGGTTCCGGATGCGGGACGTTAATTAAAATAATTGATAGTATCAACTGTCTTTGACCTATGCGACGGTGTGCTATGACGCGTCTACTATGACGTTGGCGTTCGGTTTTATCGTGTGTATCACATACGGACGCGTTGTCGGATAAATGCTGGTACCTGTCCTCCTGTTTGCTGAAACCAAATTCCCCCTCTCTCCCTCGCGAAACCCCTCGTGTTGGTGAATTTCACCGAGGATCGAATATTAAACTGCTTTGCGCGCAATTAGATCTCGTTGATTAACGAAGGCGAGAATTAAATAACGGAAGCGATAGCTGCTCCCCTCTACAGCCCCTCCCCCGTTTCTTTAATTACTCCACGGTTATTAGAGGGACGCGGATCGCTTTCTCCCTCTGTCCTGGATTATTGTTTAGTAACACTTTCGTGTACACTCGCGTCCAAAATGGAACTCGTGGGGTCTTGGTTTTACTGCAAAGTTGACACGTTTTATTTTGGAAACTGTTATCGAAGTTAAGATACTCCATGTGTGATAATTTATTGTAAAGTTGATGGTAAATTCTAGAATGAAATATTTTCAAAAGGAGAAAGTTCTATCTAATGTCAATATTGAGGCAACACATTGGTATAATATATTAGAGGTATAAAGAGTTTGTATCCAAGTTCTTTCAACTCAAAAAGTTAGAATGCGACAGGTACTTTAGTAAATCTTTGTGTACATATCAGTCACAAAATGAAACCCTCTAAAGTGTCATACTATTGCAATCAAAAGAAAGAAACTTCCAAAACCATGATATCCCCAAATGACACATTATGTCAAATAGAAATATATTAACC